GATGCTTGTTTTGCCTTTAGCTATCGGCAGATTTTTTTGCTGGATCACCACAAGTGGAGCTTCGCACACAAACCATGGTTGATTTGCCTTCTGACTCTGTTCAGTCTGTTAAGAACATGGCCAACTGCCCCAAGCGTTAGTTTATGAGCACTGTATTTACATATAAGCCAGTGTCGTTAATCACCAATCGTGGCGAATTTATGTTAGCCTGTGCATTTTATTAAGTCTCCAGAAGTTACTGAGAGACCGTGATAATTACACTGATCAACAAAAAAAAACATTTTTTTCTGGCCTGGACTTTTGCAGCTGTTTTAGACTAATTTCAGGGTGCTGATTTCAAATCTGATCTCAGATTTGCTCTATCACATCTCATTTTTATGCTATCGGCATACCCCATTTTCATTGATTTTACCCGAAATTAACTCTGTCACTTATGATTGCAAGTTGTTGCGAATCAGTTGACTGCTTTAGTGTTAAAATATGGTGCTGTATTTTAGGATAGTGTGTTTATAATATAATTTTATGTAGATATCCACATTTATTTAATATTTTTCTTCTGCAGTTTTTATTGAAAATGCAATATTTGATATCTCAAAAACCTGATGTGATAGACAAAAACTGATGCCAGATTTGGAATCAGCACCCCAAAATTACCTTACAACCGTTGGAATACCTTATGCCAGAAAATGTGTGTTGACCAGTGTATTCGATGTGTTGAATCTGTGCAAGCTAGCCAAATGGAAAACATGATGACCATTCTATTTGACTGGCAGATCACCTTGACATAAGCTCTATCTCAGGGGTCAGCAACCAACATAAAATTAATAGCCATTTTTGTTTGTTTATTTAGTAAAAAAAACAACCTCAATGCTCCAAGAGCCAGCAATGCATGTGTAGTGACGACTTGACACACTTCTCTTGAGATGGGACTTTATTGAAGACACGTTCACTTGACATCAGGCGGAGACCCCCACTGCAACAGCCCCGAGTCTCCCGTGCATCTCCCCCTTATATACCAACTGAGGCCACGCCCCCCTTCCCGATCCTTCTCGCTGACTGGACGCTCGCTCTACCGTCCTCTTCCATCACCTGATAACGCTACCTTCTATAACATTCCCGTAGCCACCAGTCCCTTCTCACTCACAACTGATACCCCTGTCATTACCTCCCATGGCCACGCGTGTATTCGAACTGTAGGCTGATTTCCCTGTCATTACCTCCCGTGGCCACTAGTCCCCTCGCACCGCATGCAGGCTCTATTGTCATTACACACATAAATAATGCCACAAACCAGTCCTTAAAGAGCCGCATGCAACTCCGGAGCCTCGGGTTGCCGACCCCAGCTCTATCTTCATCTTCATTGTCTTCATTATTAGAAATGGAGAACCTTTTCCTGGAAGCACTGGACCGCGAGTGTCTGTCTCACCCGCGTAGCCTGTGCGACTGGCCTGTGTGAATGGCCCGTGTGATGTGCCCACTATAACCGCGTGTTTGTGCCGTGCAGCCATTTGATTGGGCGATCGTCTCTTTGACTCGGAGCTTCATGATG